CATCAAAAAAGGTTAATTTTTGAAAGGACTCAAAGTAACTAATGTGCTACCCTCTGGCCTGGCCCAGTGTCAGGTGCAGCCGTCAGTGAAGGGGTCTCTGACTGAAGAGCACCAGGCCTGGAGGCCAGTGAGCAGAACGCAGGCAGAGTTCCTGTTCTAGCTTGCTTCATCCCTCCACCTTTTTCCTTCAAGCTGGTATTAGGGATGAAGACAATTTTTGGCCCGAATAACCTCACTCACCACATCAATAAGGAGTTCGAACAAAGGAGAATTCCTGATGTCCCAGTGCCGCAATTCTGTATTTCCGTAAACGGCATGGAGGGCATGGCCACATTCAACCTGCCATAACACCTTGAGGGAAGCGAGCAGGGGCATCTCTAAGAAGTTAAGGATGATCGTGGTTTCTTGTTGGGAACTGCATTAAAGTATCTGTCACATGCAGTTGGGAGTTAACAGCTCTACATGCAGCCTGGCTAGGCTGGAGAAATAAATTTGAGAGTTAACGAGATGAATGACAGTGGCAGCCACGGGAGTGGATGAGTCTACCCACGCCAAGCATAGCTTGAGAAAGGAGTGCAAAACAGCCCTGAGGGACGCCACTGAGGAATGAGCAGAGGAGAGACACTGAGCCGGATGGTCCAGAGAATGGGGGGGTGGGGGGAGTTCAGGGAAAAAGGGAGTGGCCAGCACTGTCAGAGACACAAAGTGGCGAGCCGCTGTGGGGAGATGGCCACGAAGGAAGAAAATATTTTGCCAAGTTACTTCTCTCTGCCTCCAATTCTTCATCTGTGAAAGGGGAGGGGGTATAGCTCAGGGGTAGAGCATTTGACTGCATCTGTGAAAGGGGGGGTATAAGAGCACTGCCTCACGGGCTGGTTGTGAGGATAAAACAGCGGGGCCTAACGAGCACTTAGAACAGTGCCGAACACCTGCAAGTCCTCAGTAGGCTGGCTCTTTTTCTTACTGCAACTGATTGGGCAAGTAATGGCATCAAATTCTAGGTCTGAAAATAAGCTTGGTAATACAAAGATTAAAATCTCCCTGCAAAAATGGAATATTGGAGATCTTCTATTTATCAGGTAACTCTGAAATCACTCTGGGCTTTTTTCTTTAAAAGCTTACAAAAACCCATTTCAGAACGAGGGATGCACTTACCACAACCAAATCTTACTAGGTCACTGGATGAGGGTCACTAGGTCTGCCAGAACAAAGTACAGACCGGGTGGCTTAAACAACAGAAATTTTCTTAACGGTTCTGGAGGTTAGAAATCTGAGATCAAGGTGCCCGTTCTCCTTGGCCTGGAGGTGGCTGCCTTTTTTCCTCTGTGCATCTGTGTGTCCTGATCTCTTACAGACCACTAGTTATAGATTAAGATCATTGTAGACCTCAATTTTACCTTTTTTAAAGGCCATATATCCAAATACAGTCACATTTGAGATCCTGAGGGACAGGACTTCTGCATACAAATGGGAAGGGGTGACAAAATTCAGCCCATAATAGGCATTTAAGAGTAGAAATTAACGTTAGCCTTTGTGTGAAAATTAATGGCTAAGAATTTGAGACCTCACTATACAGTGTAAGCGAAAGGAAAAGGGCACATTAAAAGAGGTCTTCTCAGGTCAGGTGGTGGCGTCCTTTTAGCCCTACTTTGACAATGTATTGCAGCAGCTAGGCAAGCACCACCCTATCTGGGCGTGTATTCCCTGATTCAACAGAAACGTTGGGCAAATACTGTAGCTTTTCAAAGAAGGGGTGTGTCTGGTGCTGTGGTGTGGTTACTTCGTAAGAAACTCAAAACCAGAGGCTTTCTCCTCCACACTGTACCTTTCAATCAACACAGTCTGGTGTACGGTTGAGCATGACAATTTAAAAAAAAAATTTTTGTAACATTTTTGAGAGAGACAGAACACGAGTGGGGGAGGGGCAGAGAGAGAGCGAGACACAGACACAGAATCCAAAGCAGGCTCCAGGCTCCGAGCTGTCGGCACAGAGCCTGACGCAGGGCTTGAACTCACAAGCAGTGAGATCATGCCCTGAGCTGAAGTCGGACACCAACCAACTGAGCAAGCCACCCAGGGGCCCCGAGGATGCCAGTTTTTTAAAGGCCTTAATTAAAAGGGCGCTTGGGTGGCTCAGTCAAAAGTGTCTGACTCTTGATTTTGGCTCAGGTCATGATCTCATGGTTCCTGAGACAGCCCCGACTCTGGCTGACAGTATGGAGCTTGCTTGGGATTCTCTCCCTCTCTCTCTCTCTGACCCTCCCCGGCTCATGCTCTCTCAAGCATTTAAAAAAAAAAAATGAGTAGGTAAAAACTGTCAGGTGAATTTGCTCTAAAACTTGACTGCATGTTTTTTGAAGTTTTATAAAGTAGCTTCTGTTGATGTTAAGATGTGCTCAATTATACATTCACTGTAAACATTAAGCCGTGGGAAGAATAGGTTAGAAAAGGAAATGGTTTTCCTCCTTGTCTCGTAGGCATGTCGGGGAGACCAGCATGATGTGCCAGTCATTCCTCTGGATGTAGTGGATCATCAAAAAAACATGCTGGATGTCAACATAACCCAGGTGGATGCGGCCTCAGTTTCCACACTGCCTGCTGGAGCAGACTTTCTCATGTGTTACTCAGTTGCAGAAGGTGGGTGTGTGTTTAGTACAAACAGAATTGGTTTCCTGACTTGAGTTCCATTAGTTTCACCTCACCTTGACTAGAGAGACTGGTATTTATCTGATCAAGGTGATTTGATCGTGAAGTTCACATCTTTGGTCACATCTTCGGCACAGGGTGATACATCAAGTGTAAAGTAACTTCTAGAAAAGTCATTCCTGAGAACTAGGTTTAAGCTACAAGTTACATCCAATAATTGGTAATAGGCTGCTAACACTCATTTTGATAGTGTTGTAATAATATTCACAGAAAGTGTTGTTGAAACTCCTGTGATGACTGTTGTTCTTTGTGCAGTAAGCTGTGTTTTTCTTTCTAATCTCTTGTGTTAAAAGCCACTGCCTGGCAACTATTTTCTTGGGAATTTTTAGGAAATGGAGGAAATTATATAGAGCTAACCTCATTTTTATAAAACTATATAAATTAATCCCTTTTCTCATAGTAGTCAACCAAGAAAAATTTTAAAGCTGTCATTGACACGTCCTAGTGTTCAAGAATTTTTGAGAACTACACTTCTGTTTTTTTTTTTTTTTTCAACGTTTATTTATTTTTGGGACAGAGAGAGACAGAGCATGAACGGGGGAGGGGCAGAGAGAGAGGGAGACACAGAATCGGAAACAGGCTCCAGGCTCTGAGCCATCAGCCCAGAGCCTGACGCGGGGCTCGAACTCCCAGACCGCGAGATCGTGACCTGGCTGCAGTCGGACGCTTAACCGACTGTGCCACCCAGGCGCCCCGAGAACTTACACTTCTGTAATGGTGAATTATAAAGGTGTTTTTCAGTCACCATAACTGAAAGCCAGAGAAACTTCAGTGCCCTTTTTGCTCCTATCATTTAGGTTATTATTCTCATCGGGAAACTGTGAATGGCTCGTGGTACATTCAGGATTTGTGTGAGATGCTGGGAAAATTCGGCTCCTCCTTAGAGTTCACAGAGCTCCTCACCCTGGTGAACAGGAAAGTTTCTCAGCGCCGAGTGGACTTTTGCAAAGACCCAACTGCAATTGGAAAGAAGCAGGTTCCCTGCTTTGCCTCAATGCTTACTAAGAAGCTGTATTTCTTTCCAAAATCCAAATGATAGGAATAATTGTGTTTTATGTATCTTGTCTATATTCAAAACAGATTTTCTTGTCCTTTTATATAAATATCACTAAGGTGGAAGCTTATGGTATAGCAGTTTAAAATGTTTTAAGGTTTAATGAGAACTTAAAATAGTTGATGTTGGTATTAGACATGCTGATGTTAGATGAAAGGGGTTGATATATAGGAAATGAAATCCTCAGGGAATTACTATAAATAAAAATACACAAACATTTGTAATACTTGATTTTTATAGTAAATCTCAAGGTTACTCAAAAATATCTGGAAGATTTAAATTTGTATTCTGTGAAGTTTTTATAAAAGTTTTATAATGTTTTTAAAGGTTTTTGAAACCCAGAAACTAGTTGTTTCCCCTTAATAAAATATTTGAAATCCATGTTTTAATTTTTCTAATTGACATTCTTACTCATTTGTATAATTCAGAGTTCTTGTACTTGGTCATACAAATTCATCTACATATGAATTATCACTTCTTGTATAGGTTTCAACTCTCACTTAAAAAAGCCTTTATGGAAAGATATACCATGATGATGGACTGGAAGAATATTGTTAGAATGTCCACAGTGCCTAAACGATCTACAGATTCAATGTAATCCCTATCAAAATACTAATGACATTTTCATAGAACTAGAACAAAGAATCCTAAATCCAATAAATGGTATTGGGAAAAATGGACAGCTGCATGCTAAAGAATGAAACTGGGCCATATATAAAAATAAAATCAAAGTAGTTTGAAGACTTGAATGTGAGAACTGAAATCATAAAACTAGGAAGAGAATATAAGAAAAATGTAGGTAAGCTCTTGGGACACTGGTCTGAGCACCTGCCCTCAGACAAGGACAACAAAAGCAAAAATAAACAGAACTATAAAAGCTTTTACACAACAAAGGAAACCAACAAAACTTTTTAAAAAGGCAACCTAGTGAATGGAAGAAGATATTTATAAATCACATATCTGATATAGGATTAATATTGAAATTAATATTGAAACTATATAAGAACTCATTCAATTCAACACACACGTACACACAAAACCCCAATCTGAGTAAAAAATGGACACAGGACCTGAACAGACATTTTTCCAAAGAAGTCCTACAAATGGCCAATAGGCACATGAAAAAGATGCTCAACATCACTTATCAGGGAGATGCAAATCAAAACCATAATGAGGTATTACCTCACACCAATCAGCATAGCTAGTATGAAACATGAGTAGGATCTAAGTATTAGTTCAGATGAAACATTTCAGATAACATCTTATAATCTTAAACTATATTTAATGATAAAGATCTTCCAATTATTATGATATATTTAAAAATAAGTTAATGACAAGACAATTCTAAAGGAAGCCTAAGAAGGAAAGCGAATGCCACACACAGAGACCACTCCTCTGCAGGAGAATGAACACAACCCAGACGGACAAGGACTCTTAGCTCAAGTACCTGACTACAGTGGCAGCTGCTCGGACTCTGATGGGTGCGTCCAAGCTCCTCCCCGCATTAATCCTGGACAAGTCATGCGAATCCACAAACCAAAAATCTCCACTGAGAACTTCAAAGAATACCTATGTTCACATTTTTTTTTAATTAACAAAAGAGATTGAAACGATCAAATCCAAAGGAACTAAGGGACTCAAAGTTCCAGTTTCTAAGTTGCAGAATCAACACATAACCGGAAAAATTTAATAACATTTAGAAATGTTAGATTAATTCTTTTCATGGACTTTCTCTCCTTGCATTCGCAAACAGTGAGTGGCGCACCTGTTTCAGGGATTCCGTAGCCTGTCAATGGGAAAAAGAAAAAGTACGTGATCAGACAGAATGAGAAACAGGGCATTACGCATGAGAGGAGTAAATGTATATGTAAATTTAGTGTATCCTTAGCTTAATAAACATTTATAATGACTAGTGGCAAATGTCTACAGTATTTCAGTGAATAGGGACCCTTCAGAAAAGAGGAACTTAAGGTTTTGATACATCCTTCAAGTTCTTATTATGTTCATTGTCCCTTTATAATGGTTTTTCTGTTTCTTATCTGAAAAGAAAACCACTTTGTGACCTATCAATCTCCCTTTTTCCTCAACTTTATTACCTAAAAAAAATATTTCACAGGTACTACTCTAAATCCTAAGTGCCCACTGCCATGAACTAGTTGGAAGAACATCCCTTAGGCGTCTTGGATTAGATCATTCAAATGTAAGACTGTACACTAAATAAAAATAAAATTGTTGTATTTTTCCCAAGTAGTGATTTTACAGAATTAAAAAAAAATGTTTTTTGTTTATTTATTTTGAGAGAGAGACAGAAAGTTGGGAGGAGCAGAGATGGAGGGTGAGAGAATCCCAAGCAGGCTCTGCACTGCCAACACAGAGCCCAACGCGGGGCTCGAACTCATGAACCGTGAGATCGTAACCTGAGCCCAAACCAAGAGTCAGACGCTTACCGACTCTTGGTAAGAGTCAGACGCTTATTGATCTCGGCTTGGGTCACGATCTTACGGTTCATGAGTCCGAGCCCCACATGGGGTTCTGCACTGACTGCACAGAGCCTGCTTCGGATTGTGTCTCTCCTCCTCTCTGCCCCTGCCCGGCTTGTGCATGCACCCTCTCAAAATAAAGACATAGAAAAATTATTTAAAGGTTATCTCCAATTCTTGACTTACAAATTTAATTCCAGGAATATCTATATCTATCTGTATTTTTTAATTTGAGGGATGAGTAGTTTAGAAGGTACAGATAACAAGAGATATTATGAATACTGGCTATTAAATGAGCATGCACTGAGCAATGGGAAGAGATTTTTACCAAAACTTTTCCTCTAAAATTACTAAGAAAAATTAAAAATCTAGTAAACATGTTGAAAGCTACCATCTGAACAAAACTAAGGAGTCTGCTGGTAGGCCAGAGATAAAAGCTGCCTGAGACACATATTGTGTGAAAGACTTAAAAGTACAGGCTCCAGTGTCAAACTTCTGGATTCATACCTTGGTTTCCCCACTTTCTAACAGTGTATACCTGGGCAAGTAACTAAGCACCTCTGTTTTCTCACCGGAAAGATGGAAAAGATGAAAGGACGGATACCATATTGAATCTTCCATTTTTAAGGAGAAGAAGCTTTTTTTTTTTTTTTTACAAGTGCCTCAAGAAGCTTAAAATTCTTTATCAGTCTTTACCTTCCTAAAAGTCTACTTTCTTTTATGGTCTTGAAAGTTGAGCTTGATATTAGACTGTTTTCTTTAAAAACACACACTCAGAGAGTGAACAGAAATAACACCGCTATTGAAAACTATTATTTTACTATCTCAACGTCATTTAAGACACTTCCCCATACCCATACCCATTAAAAGCTATCCTCATATAGAATACAGGAGTCGAGAACAAAACCCTAGGATATGAAATCAGCATCACACTTGTCAACATTTTCACTGAGCAAAGCATGATACACAGAAGTCTAGGAGGACCAAGATTTAACTTGTATTTCCCCCATACTGAGTTCCGGCTCCCAAATAAGACCAGCGAGAAGATGTTGTATCTGCATTAAAGTACCTTAGCAAGATCTTCTTTTAGCTTGTTGTACTGCACCACATCAAAATGCTGTTGCTTTGATTTCTTATGGAAGAAGTGAAGAAACTGCCTACTCTTAACAGCTGAGTAAGTATAATCCTAAAAAGAAAAACAAAAAAAGAACATGTTTTAAACATGTTTTAAATGAACATAATGTCTCTGCAAGAAAGATACTTGCCTTAGCAACACTAAAGCAAAAGGCGGCAGATGAGTAAAATATTTGCAGTGGCCAACAGAGCAAGCATAAGGCAACACGAGTTAAACATTTTGTCTTGCTTGAGATCAGCTGCTGCTTTCAAAAGCAAGCAAGCTGAGAAGAGAAATCACACATATTGGGACAGAAAGGAGCAAAAGAAAACTGTTTTGGCAAAATAGTCATGTAATAAAGCTAAAGTTACTGAGTGTTTTTGCAATACGTATTCAATTTTATTTATAAAATAAAGACAGAGAAAGAAATTTGATGTGTTTATCTCAATAGAGAAATTTGTGGGGGAGCCTGGGTGGCTCAGTCAGTTAAGTGTCCGACTCTTGATTTCAGCTCAGGTCATGATCTCACAGTTTGTTGAGTTCGAGCCCCGCATCGGGCTCTGTGCTGATGGCTGGAGTCTGCTTTGGATTCTCTCTTTCCCTCTCTTTCTCTGCCCCTCCCCTGCTCTCTCCCTCTCTCTCAAAATAAATCAACTTAAAAAAAAAAAAGAAAAGAAATTTGTGGGCTGTACTATTTCCCTATAGAGGTTATAGTTTCTCCATGCTGTATACAAATCTCTATTCTCATGAAAAGCCACAAAATTTATCAGCTTATAAAAACTCAGAGCAATTCAGTAAATAAAAAGGATTTATCACTCATTATTTGAGTTGCAGAAAAAATTATTTGCAAAACATGTCCTAAACTTACCATTTTCCTAACAAACTACTCACCTGTCGAGTGACTATAAAGTATGCAAAAAAGACCATGGAATTTGCAAATGTGATGAAGTATGTCACTGGTTCCATAATATCCCAGGAGTACACCCACCAAGTGAGCCAGGCCAACGCCCCGCCCTGAACGGATAGCAATGCTAATCCAGCCCACAAAAGTCCACTGGTTTTGGCTTCTGAGCGAGCTTCGATTCCAGCCTTTATCTGAAGGGGAAAAACGGCTTAGTTCAATTTACAGTGCACCAACGTAAGGGGAAATAAAAGCAGAAGGAACAAAAGTAAAATAGTATGTATCTGCACCACTTTAAAGAGGTCTGATTTAGGAACAGGTTATGAAACATACACATTAATGAGTGATCACTTATTTCTAAATCAGCTCATTAATGAGTCACTTTTTAAATTATAAAGGTAATACCTACTTGTGGGGGGAGAAATTAAATAGTATAGAAGGGTATACGATGAAAAACTCAAGACGTTCTCCTCTGAAACCTAAAATTACATGCCTATTTTCTCTGACCCAGCAATTTCACTTCTAGGAATGCAGCTTATAGATATACTTGTGCACGCATGGTTCATTACAGATCCTTAAGGGTAAAAGAGTGACAATGATCCATGTATCTTATATCCAAGCTATTACGTAGCCATAGTGAGGAAGCTCTCCATGTACATAGATGGAGATCTTTCCAGGATACACCGTTAGTGAAAAAAGGGAAGAATAATATGTAATAGCATATGCCCTTTTCTGAAGGAAGGAACAAGATAATTTATTTGTACTTGTGGATATACAGATAAAGGAAATCTAAAATGACTCATGGGTGGGGGGATATACTAGGAGGAGGAAAACCTCCCGCTGGTCACCTTTTTAGATTTTTAAATCTTGATACAATATATCACCAACTTTTTAAAAAATAAAAACGTGGCGTGGGTACACAATCCAACAAATAAAAAGTCTCTCTGCCAACCCCTCGATATATGGGCACATGTAGCTTAGAGGACACAGTTAAAAGTTTCTTTTATTTCCAGAAACTTCCTATTCAGATACAAAGACACACAGCCACCCACCCATTTTTAAAAATTGCAAGTGGGATCCAAGGTTTAAAAGATGCCGTTTCTTCCCTTAAATTAAAAGGTACAGACTCCTGCCTGTTCTTCCCCCAAAAGTTATTTTTTCTCCACCAGTGATTACCTTCAGATGTGAGGAGGCCATCGCTAACCTCTGGCTGTAAATCTGTTAAGCAGAGCTGCGGCCCTGGGCCTATTCGCCTCCAAAAAGAAACTGGTGGTGCTCCAGCTAGTGCATCCCCGCACCCACTCTACTCATTTACAGAGACACCGGGGCCTTGGAGAGGAAGCACAGCACAGAGTTAAAGATGGCGGCTCCAGCCGGGCCACCGGAGTTCATGGTCTGGCTCTGCCATGTATCTGCCACGTGCGCTGGCGGCCCCAGCTTCCTCATCTCGAGAACGGCAAAGATAACACTACCAAAGGCACAGGCTCATGAGGATCAAAGGAGAAAACGAGCACATGGGGAGCATTCGCAAAAATGCTCACGTGGCACGCACTCAACAGACTCAACCGTGATGCTTCCTAACCTGTTCAAGAGGCTGCAGCTGTCCCCTCAGGTGGTCAATTTTCTCCAGTAAATGGTGCTCTCTCTTTTTCTGAAACTCTTCTAAATGCAAAGCTGTAAACAGTCTGTGAACCAAGGATTTCACATTTTCCATGTCGGTGGCATGCTCCATACTCAGTTTTTCTGAGAAGAGACAAGGGAAACATAGGCAGTCACCACATTTTTTCCTTCAGGGTCTCTGAGTGTAGGGAACCAAATCTGAGTGCCCGTGGCTGGCCACCTGGGCACTCCAGCTCCTAGGGAGGCATTCGGTATTGGCCTTTCTTCCCGTCTCCCGTGATTCCTTTGGTCTCTCCCACAGAAAGACAGTCTGGGATGATAAATTACCAGACAGTAGGTTTAAAATTCATTATGTTTCGGTCTTTTCTTTTTTTCTTTTGTAATAGGACTTTGCTGTTTCTCTAAAAATCTTCACACAGGAAAAGTAAGGTATCCGTCTACCAGAATCCAGGTGAAGGCCTCACCTCAGTTTGTAACACTTTATAGTTTATGGACTCATCTCTATACCTGAGTTCAATCTAAGATCCCTCCCCTCAAGCCCCAACCATCTATCCAAAAGTTATTTTAGGATCCACAGGGGAGGGGAGCTGGGGTACTAACGTGTAAACAAAAGTATGATATACATTTGAAAAGTAAAGTGTAAGTTTTTTTCAACAAGATGCAGATCTGAAAGGAGGTTCATACGGAGAACGAGTTTTAATAAAGTTCTTTTGCTTACAGATTTCTCTTGATCCTGCCGCCTCTGTGGATCTGTAAGCTCCCACACGGCTGGGCTGTAATGCCCCTTTTCTGAGGGTTATACTTGTTCCCCAGCACTGGAAGAGAACTGGAGGTGGGGGGACAGGCGAGAACAAGCAGACGGACCCGCCCACCTGCAGCACACTCGAGGAGCCAGGGAGGTTTATGACCTGGAGAGTCATGACCAGCCCAGTGAGTCTCCAGGGCCTGCCAGCAGCGTCCTCGAGCTACTTCCCTCCCATTTCCATCCACCACCTTCAAAACTCTGTTGTGGTCTTTAATCCCTTCTACATTCCAAACCAAAGCTGCCAAGAAGAAATGAAAAGTAGAAGTTCCCTTCCAGGCTTCTGAGCTTTGCAGAACAGTCAGAGCCCTTTTGTTTTGAGGAAGAAAGTACTGACATATAAAAGGTCTGCAAACAGAGGAAAGGTACAGATGGGGTACAATTCTGTCCCAAGCTGTGGAGTGTATCAGGGGCAAACAAAGCCAGACACTAGATAAAGTGACATGGATAGATTTTATTCAGTAACTACCGCAATAAGGAAGAGAGCCCAGGGTGAACTCAACTCAGTCAACTTCTATCTGTGCAGAGGTGGCTGGGCGTTTGCAGGGAGGGAGGGGAACACCAGGGGCTTAAGCTAGCAGAGTCCAGGAAGTGGAAATCCACAAAAACTGGGCATGGAGATGGCTGGTTAAGGTGACTAGGCCATTTGGGTTGTTGGCTGGCACTTATTCAAAAGAGAAACAAACAAAAGGCAGTGTACAAGTCAGGGCAAGGCACCCACCGAGCCAGGACTGAGAGCAAGAGTCACTTCCTTGAACGTCTGCACGTCAAAGAGTAGTTTCTCGGGTCCCTGAGAAAACAGTCCTGAGAGACAAGCTGTACACTTCCAAGGTGTAGAGAAAGGATTCCAAGCTTTCTCAAGTAACTGCTAGAAGAAGGAGCTCAGGGACTGATCTATCACCAGGTTTTCCCTGAGCAAACGGAGTTCTCCGGGCACTGTTGCACTTTCTCATGCAAGCATTTTAAGAGGGCTATAGTCATAATCCTAGGGATACGGGCTTAAGTTGTTAGAAACTATGCTGGTGTTTGTTCAAGTCTCTCAGGGTGGGAGGAGTGGCGGGGTATTTGGGGAGAACAGAATCGTTTGTGTAGACAATCTGTAATTTTTATAGGCCGAGCTTGAGGTCTAGTCAAGAAGAGGGCTCAGAGGAGCCTGACCAAAGTTTGGTCAAAGAGAGAGTCTGTCGAGTAACACAAAATGTTCATCTGAGTCCAATGACAAGCGACAGTCTTTCAGAAATGGCACCAAAGAATTCGTATGTTGTATTACCAATTTAAACATTTCTCTGTGGCCATCTCCTAACAAAAACCAAAAATGAGAGACTATTATTCTTTTTTCTTCAGAAGCTCTTTATTCCTTTTGTATGTGTCGTGAATGTGGGTTTCATTTTCATATCCTGAATTTTCAAATCCAAATTTGCTAATGCTTTAGAAAAGAAATGGAATTCAAATACACTGAAATCCCAAACTGATAACTTTACAAACTTAATTTTCTATAAATCCAGCATAATTCCTCTATCATTTTCCTTCCAACCGTACCCACTGTGCCCCTGTTAGTTTAATTCACACGGTGAGACTGAGTAAGTCGGATTCGATGTTCAGTGAGACAGCCGGTAAACCCGAGGGCAAAGAGATGTGGGGCACCAGGCCTCACACTTCCAAGGTCGGCCCTGCCCCCAGGGCTCAATCCCAGCAAACAGCCCCTCCAGGCAGGCAGAGGGCTCTCCTCCCAATGGGCTGTCAGGAGGGAGGCCATAATTTAGTCTACTTGACCTAAAGTCTATGTGACATGCTGGGGTTTGCAGGAGGGAAGGTCAAGTAGAACAAAGAGATGCCCTGAAAACACTTATTTCCACTTGCGTTCTCAAATACTCAACCCAGAGAGCAGAAGACCATTCAGAGTGCTGGCAACTCACTGGACATGAAATTTCCACTTTCATATTTCTCAACTTTTGCCATCCTTCTCTCTTTGGAGTTAAATACTGCCCTGATCTTTAAAAAGAATTAACACAAGGAAGTTCACAATTGTTGAAATGACAGATTCATTTTAATTTCTCTATACTAGTTTGTATTTGCAAATCCCATAAACTTTTCAAACATACAATTAAAATTTTTTTAAGTATATATTTTTCTTCAACGAATCTTCAGAGAAATGGCTGACACCGATGCTGGGGTACAAGATCAGCCTAGATCATCTAGTTATAGCAGAAAGCTTGAAATACAAATGGGGGTGGGGCGCCGAGGGTGCTCAGGTGCTCAGGGTGCTCAGCCTGAGGGTGGCTCAGTTGGTTAAGTGTCCCACTTTGGCTCAGGTCATGATCTCATGACTCGTGGGTTCAAGCTCCATGTAGGGGCTCTGTGCTGACAGCTCAGAGACTGGAGCCTACTTCAAATTCTGTCTCTCTCTCTCTCTCTCTCTCTCAGTCCCCCCTACCCCCACTTGTACTCTCTCTCTTTCAAAAATAAACAGACATTTAAAAAAATTTTTTTTAAATGGGGGCAAGTCACAAGGACATGGGAGCCAAGGTGTTGAAACTGTATTAGAAAGTGATTAGTGACAGCCCCCTGTGTCCTCGTGACTTACTCTCATTTTTTGTTGTTGTTGTTAGCATTTTTTTTAATCTAAATGCCCTCCCCCCACCTTCCCACTCTCACTGACACCTACTAATTCTTGGCTGATGCAGAATTTAGAGAATCTGGCTATAGTATGATGACTTTTTGATTCCAGCAGCACTACCACATTTACCAGTCAGCACTTAGCACTCTAACTATAAACAAGAGCCTTCCCTTATTTATTGATCTGTTTTTGTCATCTATTTATTAAGGCACAGATTTATTAATTCCCTCCTTCTGTGCTCAAGAGTCTGTGGTCACAGCTTACCCAGAACAGAAGTCTCTGAAGCCAATACTGGCAGGAACACTTAAACATAATGGTAGGGGCACCTGGGTGGCTCCATTGGTCAAGGGTCTGACTCTTGATTTTGGCTCAGGTCAGGATCTCAGGGTTGTGGAATGGAGCCCTGCATCTGGCTCTGCACTGAACATGAAACCTGCTTAAGATTCTCTCTCCCTAAGAGGAGCCCTTTTGCAACTGCTGGAGGGAATACAAATGGTGCTACCACCACTCTGGAAAGAAATATGGAGGTTCCTCAAAAAATTAAAAATAGAACAACCCTATGACCCAGCAATTGCACTACTAAGCATTTATCCAAGGGATACAGGTGTGCTGTTTCGAAGGGGCACATGCACCCCAATGTTTATAGCAGCACTATCAACAATAGCCAAAGTATGGAAAGAGCCCAAGTGTCCATCGATGGATGAATGGATAAAAAAAGATGTGGGGACACACAAAGGAGAGAAGAATGAAATCTTGCCATTTGCAACCATATGGATAGAACTAGACGGTATTATGCTAAGCGAAGTCAGTCAGAGAAAAATGTATGACTTCACTCATATGAGGAATTTAAGATACAAAACAGATGAATAAGGGAAGGGAAGCAAAAATAATATAAAAACAGGGAGACAAACCATAAGAGACTTTTAAATACAGAGAACAGGTTTCTGGAGGAGTGTTGGGTTGGGGGGGTGGGCTAAATGGGCGAGAAGCATTAAGGAGGGCACTTGTTGGGATGAGCACTGGGTATTATATGTAAGTGATGAATCACTAAATTCTAGTCCTGAAACCATTATTACGCTATATGTTAACCAACTTGGATGTAAATTCAAAAAATAAAAATAAAACGGTAAAAAAAAAAAAGATTCTCCCTCTCTCTAATCCCTCTCCCCACTTGAGTGCTCTCTCGAAATAAACAAACATTAAAAAAACAACAACAAAAAAAGCCACAACTGGTGAATTACCGGAGGCTCAATGCTGACGGGTTTGAGAAATAAAAACTCACACACATTTACGAGTGTTATCTCCAGGAGCCCCACCAGGTTCCCATAGTGAAGGTCAGAGATCACACATAACCAGGTGCTCGGAGCAGGGAGAAGGCAAAAAGAAACATTCTGAAACAGCGCTGACTGAGCACTACTCTGCCCACAGCACGGACTCTACCAGAGCCTTATCTTGCTTGGAAGAAGGGCCATGAGCCAATTCCTGCTCAATCTAGCCTTCCTTTCACACATACGGGAAGGAAAAAATAAAAGGGCCAAGAAACTCTTCTGAAGGTTGCAGCCTAGGAACTGCAGCCCAATAAAATACCAGAGATTCAATCTTAAGTTTATAGAAGGCTACTCCACCCACCCCCAATACCTTTCTTTCCACCATGTCAACAGGGCTACAATTCTGTGCAAGGCACAGACCCTAAGAAAGAATTTC